CGGGCAACCGCCCCTCAGAGCGGGGGGGGGGTCGTGAGGGGAGGCGCCGCCTCGCAGCCCGCCCGCCGCCATTTTGGCTGGTTTGCGTCGCTTCCGCTGCTGGGAAGTAAACAGAGAGGGAGGGAGGGAAGGAGAGAAGCGGCGATCGCGGGCGGGACGGGACGGCTAGCAGAGCACAGCCGGGCGGAGGAGGCGCTGGGGTCGGGCTTCGGTGGAGGGAGCCGATGTGGCCGGAGCGGAGGCGCCAGCGCGGCCCGAGTCCCGGTTAATGCGAAGCGCAGCAGGGAGCCGCCAGGTGAAGGGGCTGGAAGGGGGTGGGCGGCGGCGCGGCAGGACCTTCCCGGGGACCCCGGCCGCGCTGCCGGTGCGGGGAGGAGAAGGGCGGGCAAGCGAGCAGCGGGGGCGGCAGCGCTTGGGGCCCTGCCCGGGCGCGGAGCGTCCGCCCGCCGTCCGTCAGGGCTCGGCGGCGCCGCGCCCCGGGCCCGGGCCCGAAGGAGCCGACCCCGAGGGGAAGCTTCTCCGGGAGCAGCGGGGCTTAAAACCTACCCTCGGTGTTCGTAGAGTATCGCTGCCACGCAGCCCTCTCCCGATGACAGTAATAAGCGGTACGTCTCGCATGATTTTTAGCGGAGCAAGTTGTTGGCGGCGGTTAGGGGTTAGGTTTGTGCCTGGTTCGCCCCCTCTTTCAGTCCGTTCCCCCCGTTAGCGCCCGCACTCCTCCTCCTGTTTCCAGACCAGCCTTAGTTCAGCTGTAAAACACCGCAACGAGCTCAGTTAGGCTTGTTCATGGGCGAGCGTTATCAGCAGGATGTAAACAGCCGTCCACAGTTGTTTGTTTGGGTTTGGTTTTAACTGCCATTGTGTTCTGTCTGCACCTTACTCAGTAATAAAAACAATATTAAGCATGTGCTTTGCTCCTCCTCCTCCTCCTCGGTGACTGAACTATGCGATTATGGTCGAACATGACTATTGCAAGCAAGATAGCGTGGGTTGCGCCCAGATGCGGAGTTCAGAACACTGAGTTCAGAAACAAGTTATTACAATAGGTTGGGAAATTTACTTGGAAAAATCTTAAGGAGTCAGGCATCCTGATTTCACCCATCTTTCTGTCCTGGTACAGTTGCATATTTTTCCCCCCTTTCTGTCAAGGTCTTCGATTTTAAAGCAAAGTTGATTATAGCAGCGGTTTGGAAAAACTGATCAGTGATAAGCATGTCCTGAGTATGCCAGAGAGAGTTAAAAGCAAGATTGATGGCTCAAGCGTTGTAAGAGGTGATGAGCAATCATTGTTTGAAAAATAGATTGTATCCATGCAGTAGCATGCTACCATGGAATTTTGCATCAGTGTCTTTCTCGCTGAAAAGTTATTTCTGCTGGCCTGGGGTTTAAAATGGTTAGATCTTTATGCTCTCAGATACATAAAACAAAGTGAACTGAACTGCCTAATTGCATTTGCCTGTTGCTATATTATATTTCCAGAAAGGTTTACTCTCATGAGTGGCCTTATTTTTTTATAAATAATTTTTAGATGACTCTGCAAACTTCGGTAGGCAAATCTGCATTCTTTCGATCTTGTATTTATTTTATTGTTAGGCATGTGAAGAGGCTGAAACCAGTTATGTTTTTAAAAAGCTATTCCAATACTTTAAATTCTGAAAAAAGATGACAAAAATTAGATGAACAAATTAATTAGAAGTTAGGTGACAAAACAGTCATCTGATTCTTAAAATTGTATTTTTTAGTCTTGAGCTTAGATAAGTTTTTCTCTTTTGAAAAAGTTCCACAAGGAAATATTTTTGAAAACTTATGATTACTTTCTCTTTTCAATTACAGGAGCATTTGAGATGTCAGTAACAAAAAAGTTGTTTGGAAATGTCTTTTCCCATCCTCTACTTGTCAAGCTATGGCACTTAGAACACATAGCATCTTATTTTCCTGGGGAGACTGTGACCTGAAATTCATCATCAGTATAGCTCTAGTGATGGCCGCATTGTCCCTTTTCTTCATTGGCTGTCTATAAAAACTTGGGATAGTACCCCACAACTTAGCGTAAAGTTTAAAGGAGTATTGCATTTCAGACTAGCTGTTACAGGTAATATGCTTGGACTATGCTTAGCAGTTATCTCAAACACAGACATGACAGGTTTGCAGTGAATTTGCTAATCTAATTCTTGATTAGTTACTAAGTTTAATTATTCAGTTTTCACAGTTGCAAAATCCAGTTCCTCCATCTTTTTGTTAGTTGCAGATGGTTCTAAGTCACTATTCAGTTTTCTTGCTTTCCTTCTGTGCCGGTGAAGTTAGTGGCTCAGCAACAGAACTCTCTCTCAGGTGGAAAACTTGTTTTAGCACAGGAGTTATGTTTTGCATAGTCTCATAGTCATGAGCTGTGAATCATAGTAAACAGTTCTCAGGGAGCAAGTAGAGATTTTTGTTGTTTTCGTCTAGTGATTGCCCCCAAGTGCTGCTGGGATTAAAAAATGAAATTGAAAAAATCAAGGCAAATTCTATCAGTCTTTCATGACAGTATGTTCAGGTTTGCATCATTTTATGAATAGCTTCAGACCTTAAGTGACAGCTTGCTATTGTCTTGTGAGTAGGTAGGATTAAAGTGTTTCAAAGATAGTTAAGGAGATGCTGGCTTTGAGAAGATAATCTATGATGCGTTGGATGATAAACAGTATAATTTTTCACTTGTATATCTAGCATATTACACTTTGTTTTAAAAAAGACTTCTAAGCTTTTACTTACTTGTGGTGCATAGCAGGGAAAGTTAATTGTCCAGATCCCAAATGCTGGGCATATGATAATCTTGTATGTGTAATTGTACTTGAATGTTAAATCAGAATTATTTCACTTAGTACAAAGTCCATGCTTATCTTGTAGAAATCATGGGGGCTGGAGGGTGTTTGTACATATCAAACCCACCACAGCCCTGGATTCTCTTAGCTTTTTAGAGACTATAGTTGAGTGTATTGTAGTTTAGCGTGAGGTCTCATTCATCGTCCTTTAGCACATGATGTGCATTGCACTGAGGCTTTTAAAAATAAATGATTGGATGCTAAGTTCAGTTGTAAGCTGGCATGTACAAAAGAACACGCTTTGATCAAAACCCAAAGCTAGATTTATTTCAGACTTATGTAGTGGTGAAGTTTTTTTCCTCTTTAATAGTGTAATATAAGGTAGAACTTTTGTAAGTGAGACCACTGTGGAAGAAGTATGTGCTACTGAGAATGAGACAACCTTTTGCCTCAGACTTGCTGAATTTAATATGATTTTGAAGAAAGTTTGCTGACTTCTTTTGCGGGTTGAAACTTCTAGACTGTTACTGAAAATCTTTCATAATCCCTATTTACTAGTTAGTTGGAAAAACGAAAGCACACCAGTGTTCTTGATGAAATATATTTTTAAGGATACCGATTTAAAATAGATGCCTATTGAAGTAACCTTTTTTTAGATAAGTAAAAAGAAAGTAAATGTTCTTCCTGTCTAGGAATAAAAATTAATTGGCCAGATACAACATCTGCAAGATGCAATACCTGCAAACATGCATACGCTCACTATTTACTTTCTTGCCTGCCTTTTGCCTTCCACAGTTTCAAATGTTGTTTCTGGTGAATAGGACTGGGGCAGCAATATGAATGTCAGTGTTCACAAAATTGTTCAGAAGAATATCTTTCCATCAGTAGGAAAGTAGAGTGATAATGAACAAAACAGTAAAACAAATTGGGTTCAAAGTGTTCTCAAAACAAAAGTGAAATACTGAAGGAGATTGGCTGTTACAAATGGATTGGCACTGTTAATGATTAAAGAAGTAATATTAAAGATATCTGTTTAGATGGTAATGTGATTTTTAGACTACCACTTCAAACTCATTGTTAATTGGGTTTTTTCCTTCGGGGGGGACACACTCCTGCAAAAGTGTGGTTACAGAAAACATGCTTTTTCACCTCCACGCTTTTCTATTAATACTGTTCTTTTCAGCTCTGTTACATTTACAAAATATATAGATTTTTTTTTTAATATATTTTTATAGAATGAAACGAGGAAGGAAAACGAACGAGGCCAGCAGCAGTTCATCTGAGGAGACAACTAAGAAAGAATCCAAGAGACACAAGGTTATAGATGAGAAAACCATAGTTGTGCAGAGTCCTGACTGGGCAAACCTGCTTCAAGACATTATCCTGCAGGTGTTTCAGTACTTGCCCCTTCTGGATCGTGCTCATGCATCGCAGGTCTGCAGAAGCTGGAACCAAGTGTTTCATATGCCTGATCTCTGGAGATGTTTTGAGTTTGAACTGAATCAACCAGCTACGTCTTACTTGAGGGCTACGCATCCTGAACTAATCAAGCAAATAATAAAGAGGCATTCCAATCACCTGCAGTATGTAAGCTTCAAGGTAGTGTATTTTTTAGGCTTTTAAAAAGTAATTTTATAAAAATAAAAGCCTCTGTTAAACTTAGTTATTTTTCTTTCTTTCTCTTTTTTTTCCTTCAGAATATTTTAAGGAAATATCTCTGATACTTTTGAGACAGCTTTGATGGTTCATCTATATAAATATCACAGCATGAGAAGTATGATTTAATTGTCAGTAGTTGAAATACTGATGATAAGTGCTAATGGACAATTGTGATCAAAACATTTTAACATGCTGAAAATTAAAGAACATCACAAAACGTTACGAAAGACAATGTTATTTTTGTGATTAGGGTTGTCAGTTATTTAAAAAGAAGTACGGCAGCTCTCAGTGTAGTGGGCCTTGTTTTCAGGCCTAGTGTACTGAAGAAATGGGTTCTCTAAATGAGCATGCAGACATGGAGGTTACCTCCCAATTCATTTGTTTATTTGGCTATGTTTTCAGGACTAAAACTTGGAATAACAGTTCTGAACATACCTTTTCATTGCCTGGGGATTTTTTTGTTTGGTGTTTTTTTTTCTTTTTTCTTGTAGCATCTTAGCTGGTTAAAATTCTGCCTCAGTGAGAGGGCAGAAGTAGTTCAGTTCTGATACTACTCTACATGTGGGTATCTGCCTCAGAATTAAGCTTGATCAGGATGCATAAAGCGAGCATTTCCCCATTTCACATCCTCTAGAGAGTTGGATCTAATATTCATGGTCAGAAAACATCTAACGCACAGAGAGAGACTTCAGTACTACTAGTAAGCAACTAGCAGTTTTAGTACTAAATTGTATGGGACTGTCTGTGTATGGCATCTCAGCACAGCTGTGTTTCAGTTAACTGAAAAAATACATGGGATTTGCACAGGATGGTATATCTACTGATTGTGCTTGGCTGAGAGAAATACCATTTGGTGAGAATTGCCTTTGTTAACATCATGGAATTATTTTCAGCAGGTGAAACCCTTTAACATTGGCCTACATATCACTGTGTTTTGGAAGGATGCTGTGAAGCAGTCATGGCTGCATATGCATCAGCTATGTGACAAATTTGGAAAGGAAGTAACTTATGCAGCAAGGTGGACATACTAGTTGTTTGATTCTGAAATCTGGCAGTTTTAATGTAGGAATGATCAGTGTGTGGGTAGCTGGGGCACCTCTGACCTGTCACATGTATTGCTACTGCTTGATGCAATACCAGCTACAAACTGTTATCACAAGGTTTGCAGGGTTTTTATCAGTGTCCAAATAAAGAAAATTTATAGCAGTATTGGAATGACCTTCCAGTGTCTATCTGCTGTCTATGTTGCTTTGCACCAAGTGTTTTTGAAGGATTTTGGATGCCCTTCATTGGGAGGGTGATACCCACATAATTTCTTGAACGCGTCCCTTCAGTTGTCCTTCAGTGTTGCAGAATCAACACTAGATCGCAGGAAGTACTAAGTAGCAAGAATAATCACAAAGAATTGGATATAACAGTGATTGTTACTCTGCCAAGGCTGAAAACTTGGGGATTTTTTTTGTAGGCCAAGATTGGATTGTTGAAAATGGAGTTTTTTTCAGCTTGTGTTCAAGCAGAAAATGAACATTCATTGGACATAGATCAGTTGCTGACAAGGTATCATGGTTTATGGTGGACTTAAGATTGATATTGTGATCAAGCTTTTTACTGTTCTGTAGGTTTGCAAAGCTGTCATGCCTACTGTATATAAGAGGTTATTCAGAAGGCACATCTGAGTGTTGGGGGAAATTCCACTGGAGGCACACTAAGTGATTCAGTTGTGTAACAAGTGGACTAATGAAGATTTTTTTTCAGAGTATCCATTGCATATCTGTTGTGATATTAATGATGAAGGCCCAGTCCTATAGGTTCATATGATAGTGCACTTAACTCTCCAGCAGCTCTATGTTATAAGCTGAGTCACTGTAAAAGGAAGCAGCTTTTCACACCATAAAGGATTTATAGAATTCCTGCATTTTGATAAGGAAGAATATAAAGAGGAAGTGAGGTAGGCTCTCGACCCAAATGAACCTCCACTTGCTTATTATTTTATGTGGTTTGAATATCTTGGAACAAACTGTTTAGCTGACCCCTCACCATGCTAAATGGGCATGTGGTGATAGGACAAGGGGTAGTGGCTTTAAACTGAAGCAGGGTAGATTCAGATTATACATAAGGAAGAAGTTCTTCACTGTGAGAGCGGTGAGGCACTGGAACAGGTTGCCCAGAGAAGTTGTGGATGCCCCATCCCTGGCAGTGTTCAAGGCCAGGCTGGATGGGGCTTTGAGCAAGCTGGTCTAGTGGAAGGTGTCCCTGCCCATGGCAGGGGGGGTTGGAACTAGATGACCTTTAAAGGTCCCTTCCCACCCAAACCATTCTATATGATTCTATGATGCTGAATTTTACCAAAGTGTTTAGGAGAGTGGTAAATTTATAGCAAATTATCTTGGAATTTTGATATGTATTTTTTGGGGAAAAAGAATGACATTGATGGATTCCCAATGAGGTGTTTTTTGGGTTTTTTTGACATCACATTTCAGAAGGTAAAGTGAAAAAAACCATTAAAGTAAATCTACTCTACTCTGCTTTTTTGTAAAGAGTGTGTTTGATTCAGTGTTTTCTGAACAATAAATCTGTTTTGTTTTAAGGTGGACAGTAGCAAGGAATCTGCAGAAGCAGCTTGTGATATTTTATCACAGCTTGTGAATTGCTCTCTGAAAACACTTGGGCTAATTTCAACTGCCCGGCCAAGCTTCATGGATTTACCAAAGGTATTTTAATATGTATATTTTTGTATAGCAAAATATTGCAGTGGTTCATACAGTATCTCTATAATTTATGAAAGGTTTTACTGTAAGAATAAGAATCTTTGGTAAGGAAAACTTTATTACAGGGCTCTATTAAAGGGAGGAACGGAGATGTTGTACTAAGATGGCTAACTAAAGTTTCACTCATTCTCTGCATCGTGTGAGAACTTAGTCCTGACCTTGTTCTTCCAAGTCCTCCTGTCTATTGACCTCAATGTAATACTGAGCAACATGATGCAAGTCAGGAGGCTAGATGATTTGTGTCTGTGTAATTGTACTGTGAGACTGTGGGAAATGTTTAGAAGACAATTATAATTGCATGAGTGGTCGAGTTTTATCCATGTGGACTTGCTGTAGGGATTATATTATCACTGAGCTCTCTTTAGAAAGCAATATGATCATGATTTTCAATACTTCATATTACGCAGTCGATTGTCAGATTCTGAAGTGCTCTGTATTTCTGCAATTATCTGTCAGATTCTTACCTTGCATGTTTACCAAAAATTAGATTTATTTAGAAGACAGCTAATCTAGAAGACAGCAAATCTCTTATATGTGCTTCTAAACAAGAATTCCTGCTAGCGAGGTACAAATGTACTGTTGCTGAGGAGCAGGAGAGTGGTTGGGGTAACCTGGGCTGCTTGTTCTGTGGCAGGGACATCTTGGATGTCTTGCAGCTGCAGTTCTTGAATCCAGTCCAAATGTATGTGAAGGGCCAGATACAGCTAGCCTATTAGCTGGATCTCAGTGATGTCATTGCTGATGATGGCAACAACGACAAGGAAGAAGTAGGGACAGCCTCAGGAAAGGAAGTAGGCTATAGGGTTTAAGCAAGGTTAGCTACAGAAGGATTATCAATTATTGTCCTTGGCAGTGATCACAGCCACGTCATGTAGTCCTCCTGAATATGTATTTTTAATCCTTATTTTTCAAAGATTTTTCCAGATCTTTAATTAGCTTTTGTATGGGTTTTTTTCATTTTTCAATGTACTTTGAGCTGTGACTAGGAAAACCTGAACGTAGTGAAAACACTCCACAGGCTTAGTGTGTTAGCAATACTTTGTCCTTTCAGCTCTTGCATATTGTATAATTTCTTAATCTGAATGCTGGTTTAGCTCTATTGCTTAGTTTTCACTGGAGGGGTATGTTATGGTCCTATTCAGCTTGCTGAATAATTATTTGTAGTCATTCATGCTATGGTCTTATTCAGCTTCAATGCTTCTAAAATACAGGCTTCTTTTTTTTGTTCCTAACAGGTTCACATGTGGCCTTTTAAAACTATATTCAAAATGAGCCAAAATCAACGCTAGGCCTGATTTGCCTTTTGATATTTACCACTCCAGTAATATTGTCATGGGCACATGTTACCAGCAGCAATGATTTTTAAAGAAGAGAATTGGACCATGAATAAGTTCTTAGGGGAAGCTGTTAGTACCAGGCCCGTTGGATGAGAAGCAGGCAAAGATGAATGGATCTGAAAAATGGTTAACACTACACAACTTTTTTTTTTTAATCAGATTGTATAGGAAGTCTGAACTACTTTGCATTATCTTCAATGGCGCTCTTCTGATTTCAGATATAATGAGACGTCTGGCAAATACTTGTAAATCACATTTAGTATTGTGTTGCCTAGTCCTTTCAAAGAGCACATTCTACATAAATCTTTTAAAGAATCATACTGTAGGCTACATATGTGTCAATATTCAAAAGACATTAAATTCCCAGCTTTTACATTTTGGGATATTGGCTGTCTTCTGTTAGCTTTTCAACTACAGGTTCAAGTTACCCGTTTTTGTAAACATGGTTAGCTCTTTGCCTTTCTATTTTACAGCCTTCTTAGTGAAGGAAATGGCATTTTTATTTTCTGTATTTAGAATGTATTTCTACATATTTCTGTATTTAACACTTTTGAAATACAGAGTGGAAATACTATTAAAGCACCTTGTCTTCAGTACATGATGTATATAATCAGTGTATTGTCAGTATAGTTGGGAGTGGTCCCTAAAGCCAAAATGCCTAATTCTTCTGATTTGAACTTTGCTTCCATTTGCGTGAACTGACTGACAGTTATAAAAATATTCATTCCTGCTCTAAATCTAATTGTGTGTGAGTTTTAGCAAAATCAATCTTATGTGACATAAGATTGAGCAAATACTGTTGTCAGGTCTTCTCTCATATAACTATTCAGGATTCTACATGTGCATGTGGCTTAGAGTGAAACAGTATTGAAATCAAAGTAGCAAGTAATTTTATGGGATATTTAATGTAGTGCATGGAGGAAGTACTTTTTTTTAAGTCTTCTATTTAGTCAATCTTGTAAGAGATTGTGAAGATAAGCTAATTATTCACTTCCTTCATACAAGCATGGCTCTATCTGCTCCTTAGTGTGTGTTTCTCAAGTTAAGGTGTCCTGGGCTCTGTCTTTACTGGTAAGTTTCCATGGTTACATAAAAATGCTGAGGAGCAACCTTGAGCAATGGACTGCCATTATCTATGCTCCTTAATCAGTAATTAATTGATCACCTGCTCCTTGGCTCCATTTGGACCGCTCCAGTTAGCATTCCAAGACAATCTGTTCAAACCCTAAATACTCTGTGTGGACAGTAGACAGGGAGTAGTATTATTGGCTTTGGACACATCTTAACAGTACAGGATTTCCACTCTTGACTGTGTTTGCCTCTCACCAACGCAGCACAACTCACCGTGTGGGAATACCTGTTCCAGAAGATGCTTCTTTTAGAGTGCAACTTGCAAGTTACCCTCAAAATTAGGGCCTCTGGGCATTCTCTTTGCTTGTGCTCTTCCTATAGATTTAAGTTTGTGTAGTGGATTGTGCTGGGTCAGGTTCTTGATTTGTTTAATGTTAGACGTTCTGATTTGCCAAATACATAGATTGATAGCAAAAAATGATTATACTTCTTCTGCTCACAAATATGTCAATTTTAGTATTAATTTTAAATTATGCAATATCAAAGGAATGCTTTTTCAGCAAATGCTGTCAATAAGTAAAAGAAAACTAGGACTGCTGTGAACAGTGTAAAACCATTGAGATTTTTATTTCAGATACTACTGTTTCATTTAAACTTTTTGTTTTCCCAGTCTCACTTTATTTCTGCACTGACAGTGGTGTTTGTAAACTCCAAATCCCTCTCTTCACTTAAGATTGATGATACACCAGTAGATGATCCATCTCTCAAAGTGCTAGTGGCTAACAATAGTGACACACTCAAACTGTTGAAAATGAGCAGTTGTCCTCATGTTTCTCCAGCTGGTAAGCTACTCTGGTTTTTGTTGGTTTGGGGCTTTTTTTGTTTGGTTGTTTGTTTTTTTTTTTTAATGTATGCATTAAATTCTGTCTGAAACTAGTAAACCCCTGAAAAAATAAGGGTGGGATGAGAGTGAGGATGAATGTGGTATCTACAGCAACTGTCACTGAATAAAATACTAATTCAACTGGTTGTCAGTCAGTCCGTCCATCCTACCACTTGCAGAGTGACTACTGGGCTAATAATAAAATAGTGCATGTCTGTTCTGGACAAATAACTAACCTTTTGTAGAACTTAAAAGAGTATGTATTGACTTGATAGTGCACTAGTTCTGCAATGACTATGTAAGTATTCCAGTACAGTTAAGCTTTTTGTAATGCGAGTTCCTTTTCTGCAGTTCATTATGTATGGGTTTTGAGTGTTGCAATGTCACGGATTATGAAGATGCTGGTTTAGTAATTCTGAAAGAAAGCAGTTTAATTTTTGCTGCAGAGGGGAGATGAAACTGAGCTGTGCAGAACTTCTGCCATTACCAAATGTACTTCATTAACACTCTAAGTGTGTTTGTAGCAAGAATGAAGCCAGCTAGTATCAGAATGAAATCACTCAAGACTGTTGAGATTCATAATATTAATGTTTGTGGAAGACTTATGCAATGCACAGCAAGTTTAAGATTGATTCACAGCCCATCAATTTAACACAGTTTTTCACCAAGAAATGGAAGAGGAGTTATAAATGAGATGCTGGCAACTTAGTTAAATTCCTCTTCTGAGGACAAGTAGAAACTACTGTCATCGCCATAACTTTCTTCACGCAAATATATTGCAACTGTAAATATTAGGTATATTGTATGTAAAATTCACCGGCAGGACTCCTAATATGTGGTGAAAATGATACCGTAGCAGAGGGCATGTTGCTATAGTGATGTCAAACAAAATGCAAACTTAATACCTTTTGCAGGTATAGCTCTCGAACAAAACTTCTTTGTATAAAGAAGTCCTGAAAACGCAGGTTTGTTTTGTAGCAGATTTGTCCAGTAAAGTGTTCACCAGCATGTTAACTGGAATGTTATTTCCTTCAAAGCTCTGGAATTGTAGATAGGGGGTTGTTTAAATTAGCTTGACTGACTGGTTTTTCTGGCTTAAAATTTTGTTTGAGAATCCTTGTATCTGAGAAGCACAGGAGGCATAATATGTCCTTCAGGAGGCATAGGCTCCAGCAGTAATTTGTAGCTAGGCAAAGAGAGTAATTTCCTTGGACTTGGATCCAAGAGCAGCCTGTCAGTTCTGGCAGACTTTGCTGGCTTGTGGCTAATCCTTGCTAGGTTTTATGGAACATCATACACTTGGGAATTTGGGGGGGGCATGGGTTTATGAAGTTGTTTGACTGTTGTATTCTGTTTGATATATCTTGTACGTTGTTTTAAATTGAAGGAACAATGGGTAAGAAACGGCAATGCCTGTTTAAGGAACAAGGAGCACAACTACAGTTGTCCTTCATGGAGCAGAGGTGAATAGAATGGGATCAGATGCATTAGTGACAAAACAAGAGAGTGCTAAGCAAAGAGCAGAAGAATTTGATGGCTTAATTCAGGTATGGGTGTGCCTAGAGATGGAGAAAAAAGTGGAACAAAAGAAAGGACCTGGTATGTGGATAGTTGGCTTCAGAGCAGGCAGGCTGCAAAAATGACACTTGAAGGAAAATGAGAAACCCTTGAGTACTGAGACTTACCTGTATTTTTTTTTCTAATGGGAATATTACAATTAACAGGCTGTTATAAGTGTGGAAAAACTTTAATTGAACCAAAAGGGCCATGAGTTATGCAAAACTAATTACTTATAGATGCACTTAAAATGGTGTAACATGCCTTCAAATTGCGGTTGTGGCAGGGAGGCAGGGTGTAATGCAAGTAGTGCAAGAGAGACTTCACTGCTGCAGGAATGAAGGAAAAAGATTAGCATCAAACTGTGAATTGCTTCCAAAGGGTGCTCTGAATAATCCCTAAGTTACTGTACAAAGATAAGAGGCATGTTTGGGTTTGGGCTGGAGAAATAAAGGCAGTGGTGTATTTCTAATCTTTGTGAGCATATCTGAAGTTTCTTCTGCTTGCTTTTTCCCCTCTGAACTTTAACTTGCATTAGAACTGCAACAGTACCTTGTAAAACAAAATAATGGTTATTTTTAAATCCACATCAATGTGCTGTTGTTTATTACCTGAAATATTAGCTATTGGAACAGAGGGAACTGAAAGCATTTCTGTAAAGGTTGCGTTTCTGCTCTGCTTTGGGGGTAGAAGGGTTGCTTGTCTTTGAGTGGGGGGGTAGGGGACAAGAGTTGAATGTAGGGTGTGTCTGCATCAGCAGTTTAGTAAAGGGATTTTTTTGATGCGAATCTGTGCTGTATGACACCAGAGCGATTTACCTCTCAATGGCAGAAAGGCAGCGCCTTGGGATGTTCTGTGAACATACCACTTGCAGCGTGGGCTCCAGGCAGGCCCTCCAATAACTATCTACACTGTATTAATTGTCAGTTCTATATGCAGGATACATAATTTCACTGACAGTATGGAATGTGGATATCCAGTCCTAGACCCATAAAAGATCGCAGCAAGTTGAACGCCAGTTCTTCCCTTTTTGCATTGCACTAGTCAATAAGGTACCCTTAAAGTTAACAATGATAATTTGTTGAAGGATGGCAGTCTGCACAACAAGCTGGTTTGGATGCTAAATGTGTAGCAAGTTGTTTTCTGAAACTGTAGTGATGAGACAATGTATCTGAATCTTGAAACGCTGTTTAAAATATTTCATGTGTCAACAGACCTAGGTGTTAGGAAGCAGCACACCTGGGTCTGCTTAAATGGAGAGGTTGTAGCTGTTGCAGGAGTATTGCTGTAAGAATAACTGTTTGTTATGATTTAAGGACAGGAAATGATCTCTGGAATGTTTTGAAGGTACACAAAAGTTTGTAGTTATACTTACTTGTTCAAATTTTGTAGTCCAATCTTTAAAAAAAAACCAAACAAACCCTGGATTTTCGCTTCATCTTGGATCCCATCCCCTCCTCCCAAATGAAATGATGAGTGTGCTTACATAGATAAACTGTTTCTACAGGAAATAGTTGCAATAAGAGTTGGGTTAAAATTCTGTTTACTTAAATTCTCCTTCTTTTATTCATCTAAAAAACTTTTTATATTTGAAATGACAGTATTTGATATAGTTAGAAGAGCTTCTGATGGATGTGTTCTTGCAGATCCTGAGGTGGAAAATACATACTTTTTTAGTGTATATATTGATGCAATATTTTTACAGTAATTTTTCTTAAGGAAGTGTTTTTAGGCTCAGTGTAGGCTTCTCTTTTGAGTTTAATAACTGCATCTTAAAATAACCGCTGTCTTTCTATATTTCTTCCCATTGCTTTAAAGCTATAGGGTATTGAGCTCAGGTTTTTTAGCTGCATATTAAATGCTGCGTTCTCATCTCCTGTATTAATGGAAAGACCATATCCTGAATTTCACAGAGTTTTCTGGGCCACATGAAATGCGGAAAGCTGTATGTTTTGGGTTTGGTTTTGTTGGGGGTTTTTTTGTTGGTTTTTTTTTTTTTTTGGTTGTTTTTTTTAGTACTGTTACCAGTGTGGTACCGTTGCTTATATCTGCAAATAGGATGAGTGGAAACCTTATAGACTGAACTGAATTCTTTTTGTTAATGTCTTTGTCTTCCATGAGCAGCAGATTATATTGATTCATTAGAGTCTGAAAATCGCTGTTCTAGGAATTAATGCTCCCAGTTTTTAGTGCTTTCCCTGTTTTTTGCTGTTGCTTTTCCAAATTTAAATATTTATACTTTGCTAGAAAGAACAAATACTGACAGCAGCAACTTTGGTATTTAGTTAAAATCTAGCATTCATTTTAGGTTTGCTTTCCTCAGGTGACAGATTTCAGTCATGGCTGCTTTGTCAGCCACAGAGCGGGACGCAGTTCTTCTAGAGCAGGCTAGGGAAATACTTTTATTATGAGTAAGCCCCTCATACTCAAATTCATTTTTGTAAATGTGGTCCTACAACAGGGCAGAACAGTCAGAGTATGGTATTTATATATTTGTCACATGAGAATCAAACCCCCATAGGAAAGTACACAATGCAACATGTTAACGTCTTTATGTTTCCCTAGCAAAATAGTGATGTAGTCGCATAGTGTATGTGCATTTTACTGTGTAGGTACAAAGAAGTCAGAAGACCATGCTTATGTGGAAAAGATTCATGTTTTGGTTGTCCAGTATGATTTTGTTTTGATGTTAGGTCTTGCTTGCATGTTGAAATAAGTGGTCTTTGCACCCTCTTCATACATAAACAAATTCACTCATATGTTTCTTGTTTGGTTATTAGTATATTTATCTGTGTAACCACTTTCATAATGTTCTCTTTTCCCAGGTATCCTTTGCGTGGCTGACCAGTGCCATGGTTTACGTGAATTGGCACTGAACTACCACCTGCTGAGTGATGAGCTTCTGCTTGCTTTGTCTTCTGAAAAACATGTCAGGTTAGAACACTTGCGCATTGACGTTGTCAGTGAAAATCCTGGACAGACTCAGTTCCACACAATTCAGAAGAGCAGCTGGGACGCTTTCATCAAGCATTCTCCTAAAGTAAATTTAGTAATGTACTTTTTCTTGTACGAAGAAGAGTTTGACCCGTTCTTTCGTTATGAAATACCTGTCACTCACCTTTACTTTGGAAGATCAGTAAGCAAAGACGTACTTGGCCGTGTTGGGATGACGTGTCCTCGGTTAGTTGAACTGGTGGTGTGCGCCAATGGATTGCGGCCACTTGATGAGGAGCTGATCCGTATTGCGGAACGTTGCAAGTATCTGTCAGCCGTTGGCCTAGGAGAATGTGAAGTCTCTTGCAGTGCCTTTGTTGAGTTTGTGAAGATGTGTGGTGGTCGTCTCTCTCAGCTTTCTATTATGGAGGAAGTTCTGATTCCTGATCAGAAATACAGCTTAGAGCAGATTCATTGGGAAGTTTCAAAGCATCTCGGTAGAGTCTGGTTCCCGGACATGATGCCCACATGGTAAAGTCCTTAAAAGACTTCAGGGCAGATGGAATAGCACCTTAAACCCAAGCTTACCATATTGCAATTTACTGTATAAGCTTATATAATACTATAGTTTTTACTGTAAGTTACTTCATTGTTTCATTAGAAAATTAATTTTTCATTCAAAAATGATTTATGAAATCCAGATTCAAAAATAGAAATCATGGATAGCTCCAAAATCCTTTCTCATCCAAACAAAAATCTGTTTTCTGTCTTAGATTTGTTCTTTTTCATTGACAGTGACCTCAGACTTCTATGGAAGTAAAAAATGTATTTAAAATACTGAAATGTACCTGCAGAATACCAGTTTTAATATGCTGTCCTTCTTTGATTTAGATGCTAGTATTGAACACGATCAGATTTGATCTTAAAAAACAAACAAAACCCCACCAAAACTGCACGCTGCTTTTGCAGAGTATAGTATTTCTAAATCCAGTCACCTAGATGACAGGATTAAGATTGTAAGGAGCATTTAGTAGGTTGTGAAATATACACATTCTTTTATATGAAAGTTATAAAAGGCAATAGCAATACACAATAATATAGTTTAGATAATTAAAATGTTAAGTTTGCTACCTTATTCAACAGATTAGATCCATCTAAAATGTATTTAGAGCGCAAACAAATATTAGTGCAAGCTACCAAAAGTGGTGTGGATTTTTCTCCCCTCTATGCATTTTAACGTAGTTTGCTTATGGGGTCTCAGATCTGTGTCTAAACCTGTTTTAAGGTATTTTATGTCTAGCTCAGGAAGCGAAAGCATTCTGGGGAAAAATGTAGATACATTGTATTTAAAAACACATCGGAGTTAATGAGCTTTTCTTGCACATTAACCAGTTTTGCAGCATACAGTTAGATGGAATAATGTATAGTTTATTAAACGAACCCTTCAGTGTTAAAATGTGATGACGTGATGAACAGTGTGAGACAAGAAAGTTAAAATTTGAATGGTGACCAAGAACCTTTTAACAAAAATCTTAAGACCTTTTGTCTGCTTTCAATTGGAGAGAAATGACATTGTAACAGTTGCTTAGGCTGTATAAACTAATTGTATACTGTAAATCTGTTTCAGAAATGTTTATGTATAAAGTGAATGTTTGATAGATGATCATTTTGTATACCTTTAATTCAGCTAGTTCAATCATTTCATAATATTTAAACACCTAAAAGCAGTAAACTTGCGTGAAGTAGAGCAATAGGCAAAAATTTGTTTTGAATACTTGGTAAATCGGTTTCATTAAAGAAAGATTTTAGTCTGTAAGTGGTGTAGGCAATGTATTGCCTGTGTTCTGGATGTGGCTTGTGACTTCATTTCTTACCGCGAACAGTTACGTTATTTTCTCTTTTATTGATTGGTAACACTAAAGTATTCCCGTGACTGTTGAGTGTGTTTGAGGTGTCGTCAGCCACCAGCAAGGCAAAGCCACCCCAGCTGTGGGCTGTACTGAACGTAGCTGGTGGCTGCTTCTCATTTGGGCTGTACAGCTAGTTCTGGTAATCAGCAGATTTTCTTCATTTCTGAGTTCAGTAATGTTTATCCAGATGTATAGTTCAAGTGTAATACACTTATGACCGCATTTAAGTTCATAACTATATTTTGAGCAAACATTGCTCAGCAGACTGGACATCTTTGTAGGGTAGTTGTATGTTTCTGTAGAGCTTTGATTTAAAAATCACATTTTATGAAATACGCAGGTTTTGTATTAGAATTTGTTAAATTAATGTAATACTATAATTTGCTTTTATTTGTATAAAAGGTGTCAATATATTTAGTCCGTAAAAGTAAAAAAGCTCAGTGTTTTTTATATTCTGACTTTTGGAATTGCCTGCATGATAAAGGTGGAGTAACACTACTGATGTGGGGAAGAGGACATGTTTTCACTAAATTAATGTGTGAAGTAATCTCATTAGTAACACAGCTAAAACCTCTTTGGACCTTGACTGCTGGTGTCCTGCTGTTGCCAAGGCAAGTTGGTCTGTTGCATACTGCTGTGGTAGTGGGGAATAACTGAAAGGTGAGACACAGCCTAAGTATCCGAGTTCCCTCACTTCTGGAATTCGTATCTTTGAAGGCCAGCGTTGGGCTTCTTGCAGAGAGACCTCCATCAGATCCTGAGGTGGGGAACATGTTAGCAACTGAAGGCTTTATGCTTAGTTGTAGTAGAACTGCTTCCCCAGCAAGGTAACTGGCTGGCCTTTTCTGAGAAGGTCTCTGTTTTGTTGCATAGACTTCAAAAAGTCCTTCACAAATGCGACACAGGGTTGTAACAGTTATCAAAATGTTCAAGGATAAGAAAACCACTTGAAAGCAGTTGTCTCTCTCTTCCACTGAAGGTCACCAGTTTTTATACATCAAACCAATTACAGCATCCTTGGCTCAAATAATCCAGCTATAAAACAAACTTCCCAGGCAAGCCTATATCCTAAGTAGCTTCAGGAAAAGCTACAATGTTCCTTTTTAGTGAATCTTGTAAAATTCTTATTTTGCCTTCTGCACATGTTGGAAGAAATGAATAATAATAAATAAAAATCCATGACACAAGTAGTGACAAGAGTACCACAGACTGTCATGAAGTTCACTAGAAGCATGAACATGGGTGTCTTACAACTGTATAAAATAATTTTCCCTGGGTTCACCTTTATTTCTTCAGTTTTCAGAAGAGGATAATCCAGCATTGGCTTGGTTGTCCAGTTTTGGGTAGGAGTTGTTAATGTGTGCAGTCACAAATCTTACCTCTGGACACAAGTGCTACATCACTTCATTTTTTTTTGATATAAAATTACCCTTGAAAGCTGTTGATGCCAAACAGCTGGGGTGATCCTGACCATTAATGCTAGTTTACCATGAGATGTTGTATTAAAAGTGAAAAGGTGAGTGATTGAAGAGCAGCTGTTTACATTAACTACTCCTGTAATTTACCTAAAGCTACAAACTTGTGAACTTAAGTGAGTTTTTTAGGGATTTTTAAGTCAGAAACTTTAACTAATACTATGCAAACTGATCTAACTACATAGGTATAAATCAGCTATATCTATTCCAATTGTTAAAATTTTGATGTGTGCCAAATCAATTCCCTGTGAATTTAAAGCAGGGGTCAACTGGGCCTCTTTATATTTGGAGTGTAGGCCTGACTAAAACCTAAACTTTGTTATGTGACTTTAGAGATCTGTCTTCATCTCTGGCTGGTCTAGTTGGTTGCACATGGAATGGTAAAAATAAGTGCTGCTGCTGTATCTAAAACTGGAGCATTGATTAATGAGGAAATTTGTAAAATCTTAAAGGGACTCAGAACTTCGGACTACAAACTGTAAATTCATTTTCCTAAAGTACAGGTGCTGTAGAAACAAGTTCCTTGGAGATATGATTAAAGTTTAATAGTATCAAAACTAGGACAGTGAAGCCACAATTAACCTTAGATGTTCCGGATGTTCATCTTCTATCCTTTTTGTTAGGTTTTTCTTATAGGATCACATCCGCTGCTGGCTGTTGTAGTTCATGTGCTTTGAAACAGAGACTGTGGTGTGCTGTCTGCTCTGTCTTGCACCTGTGCTTTTGTAAGATGGCATTTTCTTGCAAATGCTGAGGAACTGGGACAGCTTTGGACCTTTCAGAGGAAAGTATCTGTTCCTCCCAGACTTGCAGGATGACAGAAAACTCATAGTTTCCCATTTTAGGATGATCCTGCACAAAGATCAGCTGTCATGATTTGTTATATGAGTAAGGAGAAAGATTCTTGTGATTCCTTGTATTGTACTTTATCTGTTGTATGGTCATTTATGGATGTAAGATAAAGAAATGTGCAATCCAGCCTTAAATCAATGAACTGGCAATCAAGCAGCTTGGATCTCAAAACCTGATTTAAACATTAGTAAGGCAAGAACTTTGGTGGATGTAGCATTATACCAGTTTTGCTGGTTTATCCCCAAGGAGCAAGATTTAAGAGATAAAATGTCACTCTTGAACCCTCCCCCAAACAAAGGCTTGAGGGTGGGAGGAAAAGGGTTGATTTCCTAATTCTGTTGCTGAAATCTCCGACAGTAACAGAGTATCTGGGCTGGAAGTCCTGCAGACCTACCTGACCGCTGGCTCCTTTCTTCCCTCAGAGGCTCAGGCACCCAAAAACTATTCCCTGCACTCTGTAACACCCTTAATGTTGTGGGAAAGAGGCAGGCTTTAGAACAGTCCCTTCTCCCATGGCCTGCAGCATTAAATTAGATGGTATGGTATCAGCTGGAAAATTCCTTGCAGGAGTCTCCTTCATAATAATAGTTTTTAATCACAGACCCCACAGACTGAGTCTACCATTAATACTAAATTTTAAGTGTGATGTGACATGGGAGATGATTCTTTTCTTTCTATTAGTGTTCCCTAGACTGAAAAGAGGATATTCTCTGGATGGCTGGTAAGGTCTTATTTTTACTATCTAATTTTGCTAATTTGCAATCAGCACCTGATGGTGGGGGGGGTTTATGCTTTAGACTTACAATTTAGACTCTGCTGTAAGTGGAGGAGCAGAAGCCTGCTCTGCTTTTCAAATTATTCCCTTGTGAGTTGTGGTGACTTCAAAACCAGAACCTCAGCATCACTGACACCATCCTCAGTTATGGTACTGAAGGCAGCAGCTCTCCTAATCCAGGACAATTGTGAGGGGGAAGGCACAAGGCATTTGTACCAGCTATTTTCCTTGCATGGTCCTTCAGGGAACAGGAGCTGCATGCTCTATTTGACCTTGATGTACGACAAGTCAGGAACTCCCTTGCTTGAGAACCCTCCTGGAGTGAAGTGGGGGTTACAACCCCAAGCAGCTCAGTGGTATAAAAATTGAGCAGTTTTGCACAAGACCGCTGTGCAGACATTGAAATTTTTGTATTACAGAATGATCGCATATTTTTACCCTTAACTGCAACATGTGTAAAAGCAGGGAGCAGAACCAGGCACAGTCTAAGTGACCAGTAACTCCTGTATGCAAAGCATGAGTAATGACTCAATGACACATTCACTGGAGACAGGTAAATGAGAAAGCAGGAGCTTATCCTTGAGCCCAGCAATTAGGACAGTCCCCTGGTTCCTACTGTCAGGCAAGTAAGTGCTAATACCAGCTGGTTGTGAGTGAAATGTTAGGTGTGATCCTATTATACCTGCTCCCCTGTGTGACTTTCAGCAGGAAGACATCCACCTCAACTGCTTGAGCTAAATAGGTGATTTTTTTCAGGCACAAACAACAGCAGCTCATCAGGTGTACAGAAGCTGTTGGATGTCACAAACATTTGCTTTGTAAGTGACAAAAGTGTCATCTTTATGGATCTGTTCTGGGCTTGTCTAAACTTCACAGAAGTAGCCTATTCATCACCTCAGTGTTATTTTTGGATCTAATGCGTTATGCCTAACTCAAGGATTCTGGATTCTGCCTACAACAGAGCACTGCACTTGCTAACTTCAGTCTAAGTGCTAGTGAAACTACTTCTGGTGCAGTAGTTAGTCAACTTCAACTACTGCACCTCTTCCAGAATTGCAGTTTGAGCTGGTGGAGGTTTATTTCCACCCAGCTGTGCATTCCATCTGAACAGCTGGCTTTTAAGGTTCTGAACAAAAACTCCCAAACTGAAAGAAGCAAAAAAGTGAGGGGCTCTCTCCCCAGCACTTGTACCCAGAAGGAATAAATACTGGCCTCAGAAGAAATTCATGTATGTTAAAAAAAGGGCAACTCCTACATTGATAATCAGTACCTTCTTTAAACTGAGGATAGAGTTCAAAGTGCAAAACAGACTTGCATACACACGTGGCTGCATAAAGGAATCATCAAATGATTGTCAGTGTGACCTACTGCTGAATACACTCACAGATTCTGTCTCATATACAGCTGCTGCTTTCTGCTTTTGCCTGGAAGGGATGCAGTATCCTTGACAAGTACTTGCCCAGTTATCTTCATCTTTTTTTTTTTTTGGCTGCTAATTTACTGTCCTCTAACTAACTTGCAACTAATACATGCTAGGATGTAGCTGTTTCTCCTTGAAGCAACTCCCTGTACCATCCAGAGTATTACGGTTAGAGTAAAACATGCTAAATTAAGCAGATTGTACAGGAAATAGGAAAAGTGAGAAGGGCTGTTATTTAGGTACAAAAAGCCCAGCATATTATAAACTGGTACTGACAGAACCATGAAGTTACGTTTGAAAAGTGATTACTTCTTTCATATAGACATCTACTATTTTTGATCAAGTTCTTTAATAATCATGAAGGTTTTATCTCTGCAACATCAGCTGTGTCAAGCTGTTGTATAATCTCTTTAAGTATTAATGGTCCACAAACACCCATCTTTTTTGATTGTTAGGAGCTGCACAAGGCAGCTTTGATATGTGGGATTCAGCTACCATTAGCTGTGTGTTTCTGGATTTGGCATTTCCAGTTCTGGAAGGCTCTTCTATGCATCACAAAATACTTATTAGGGGAAACTATCAGGGGAAAAGAATGACTTTGGTGTGCAGGCTCCCTGGGTCCCGTATGAAGACAAGGAAGTACTGTACAGTGAACGAACAGCACTGTCAGGCTGAGCAGAGACCTGCTCTACTATGAGGGAGCATAACTTACCCCACCACAGGCTCTGAAAGGTCTCTACGTGCATCAATGCTACAAGCTTTTTAGCAAATACTAAAGAAGCAGCTTTTGGGGCTTCTACTGGCTTGGTTCCATGACCCTATTTCCCCTTCAGAGCTTTAGACACTGGTTTTGAGGTTGAGGCTTTTTCCTGAGAAGATAAATGTGGGGTCAACAATGTTGAGGGTTTCAAAGTCATAAAACCATTCATCACCAAGAACATACCTTCTGTAGACAGGCTTGTTGCATCCCTTTATCTTCCCTAGTGCCTCCTGGATTACCTTCTTGGTGGGTAATCTAAAGAATCTGAAGCTCAGCTGGTTAAAGCAAGGGTTACTGACTTTGGCTGCAAAGAGTCAGCCTTTCAAGTTGAGGCAGAAGATGAAGTTTCATGTAGCAGTTCAACTAATTAGCAGCTTTTCCCTGCAGAACAGAGGTGCTCTCAATCACCTCACTCCTCTCACACTAGCTCTCATGCTCATCCCATTACATGATAATGCAATTCAACTAATTAATTTTAGTGACTTTTTAAATAGAAGGTTAATTTTCTGCCATTCTTATGATTTGAATCAAATCACTGTGTACTTGCACTGTGTCCTCCCCTCTTTGGCCGCAGCAGGCTATTAACTTGGCTCAAGGTTCCTGTGTTATTGCTTAGCCATGATGCAGTAACAACCTCTGTGGGAGTGCTACTCATTCTGCAACTAGTTTAAAAAAAAAAAAAAAACAACAAAGTGAGCAGTGTACACTTGGAGATGATTTTGCTGCTGCAGGTGTATTTTTTGTGTATAGGCACCTCACTGGTCTCCAGAAAGGCAGTGTTCCCTTGGCTTTGGTCCATTGGGTTTAAAGGGAACTAATTGCCAAGCCACTCTAGGCATAGCCTGGAACAGGACTCAAGGACATCGCAGCTGGCACAGCACCATGACTGCAAGCATCACTGCCAGTAAGAGGCTGCAATCACTTTTTACAGGCAAACCTGTGACAAGCGCAGATTTTTAACTGCAACTTCGACACCCAAACTGTGATCGCTTCTTTCACATTAAGGATTCTATGCTTTTTAAAGAAATTTAAAAGGAATGTAAACATGATTTCTACGAAACTGACCTATTTGAAGCCTCAAGTAGACTTTAAGACAGGAGACTGCTAGAACACTGCAGTTATGCACCAAAGTTGACATCAAAACAGGGTGTTTGCCTTCTATCTGTGCTAGAAAACACACACAGATCTTAGGAAGAGCCATATGTATTATGTTCACAGTAGTACAGGTGAAGGAAGCAAAGTGGTGAAAAGATACCACCCATGCCATCTTCTAACAGATTCACTGCCCCTTCCCACCACACTGAATGCCTGTGATGTCATGAACCAGAGAACAGTTCATAGGTCCCTGTTGTACAAACCAAAGAAATACAGACCAATCTAAGGCACACGTTGAGGGAACTGGGCACATCTAGGCACTCAGGCTTGTTAGCTCCAACATAAGGATTAGCCAAGTTGGTCAGACCAGAAGGTCCTTGTAACGCTTGTGTCCCATCTCTGCTGGTCGCCAGGTGCTATCTGTCGCCACATGGCCATGTGGAGAGTGCCTGAGACCACAGCAGGCAGGCTGCCTCCCACTCACCCTCTGGCACTGCAGAGTTTAGCCAAGAGGAGCCACATCAGCCTACCTTCGGGCAGCAGGTGTCCACAATTACACAGAAGCTGGCCAAGTCAGAGATGCTGAAGCATTCATGAATGTGTTATACAGGTGACAAGAATAAAAGGCATAGTCTTTCATGTGGTTGAGCAAAGCCTTCCCAACACAACTTTCACAGTTGGCAGTGAAACATACAACACTTCAATACCATCATGGTAGCACGCCAAAATCCTTAAGGATGTTCTGACATAAGGGCAAATTCAGTTCTTTAGTAAGCAATTATACACCAAAGGATGTTTTGCTTCCAATAGGTAAAGGGACCTCTTCATAAACTATTTTGAGATAAGGGAACTTCATAGGTAAAAACCAGTATTCCAAGTTATAGAAGAGGTAAAACTGATGATTCAAGATGACACGATCAATTATTTTTAAAAGATCCACAAAAAACTCTCCAACTGTCCGATGAGGTTTGAATGGATAGTAGAAGTCTCTTATAGCTGCTGCCAATGTCCGGTTTCCTAGTGGTCCAAAAATAGATGTTTCATTTCCCAAATAAATAGGTTCTCCACTGAATAAAATTATGCTCGTATAGTTTGTTTGTATCTTCTTAAATACAGCTCCTAAGTCAGCTAGCTTCTGGTATGTTCTCAGTATAAATTTAGAGCATTCATAAGAGTCAAACCATACTGTTGATTTTTTGTCGAGACTTGCTTGAACTGTCCAGGTCTCATAGTAAATGCCAGTCTCATTGTCGTATTTTACCCATTTTGCCATTTCATTAAACATGGTTCCTATAAGAGATGAAAGTAAGTATTACAGAGACAAGGTAACAAATACGTGACTCAAAATAGTTTCCATCTATTTCAAGGTTCACCTGCCTTCCCTGCAAAAGTTTACCTACAACATTACCTAACCATACAAAGACACAAGGCTTGGGTTGGAGGGAGAAGTGATATCCCACTGAATAAACTATATTTACATGTAAGTTATTTAAACTGTAATTCCTTTTTCTGCCCCATTTCCTGCTACTATGCCAGAACATCCAAATGGCAGAGAACCATGACACTTCTCATTTTGTTTTATCCGTGTTGACAAACAGGGCAGGTAGTACAATCCAGAAGAGATCCTGGCAAAGTGCTCACCAGTGCAACAGGTGTTTCTGCACTTCCTCAAGTTTTAACTAAATTCAGCAATTTAGGGCAGAAGTTTTCATGTCTCTCCACAAAAGAAACCTTAGACTGAGCTACCCTGCTTTTCTAGTTCAGCTTTGCTGGCTGAGCAGCTGCTAAGCTAAACAATATGAATTGGATGTGAAGACCAGTAAACTTAAAGACCTTGTGGGTTATTTTTTATTTAGAATACGTTTAGAGTGTTTTGGTGATTTCACAACTGGAATGAGGAAGACATCTTTAACTCAGCTCATCCCTCCGGTAGCTCCTTTCATTTGATGCATCTGCTGCCCCAAAATAGAGCTGAAGCACAGCACTAATCTTCCTTCATTTGTTTTTCCTGTAGTCCTAGCACTGCACATCAGCCTAGCCCTTCACGCCCTCTCTTTCCTCAGTCACAGCACAAGGTACAACCATCTATGACTCAAATCCATCTAGCACCTCACACTCACAGCATGACCAAATTTTGCAGATTCTTTTTGTGCGATACATCAGAAGACACAGTCAAGACAACAGATTGCAATTGTGATGGTGTTCCAAGCCATGATCTCTCTTTAGCTGCAAGTGTTACTGCTGTGGGTACAGTAGCTGTGCTTGGTAGCTGCTGAAAGATAGGCAAGACTTGCAAGCCAAGAGACTGGCAGCAGTTACCTCGCAGTTCAGGGGTGGCAGACACCAGACAGATCTGTGTCACTAACACTGCCCTGCACGCAACAGCCAGCCTCTTGCATTAAGTCTGAATTCACTGCAATGTTGCATTTATCAAGACCAGTGAAGAGCACTGCATGCCACACATCTCCCCCCAAAACAAGATGCAAAGGTCAGACTGCTGGCTCTACTCTTCATTAGAGAGTAAACACATCTCACACTTAAGTCTAAGGTAAGGCATGTGTGCAAGCTACTACCTCAGAGTAACTAAAGCTCTGCACATTCACCTTCTAGGCATTATAACTGTTCTTCAGACTTTAGAGCTTTTGGGCTTCACAGTAAACATAACAATCATTCTGTTTAGTCAAAGTGTTGCATACTTTCTTTTTTAATTGCCCATGACTTGGTTTAATAAAACAGCAAGTCATTCAATCTATCAAGAATGGTACTTCCTATACACTGTAGATGGGCTTGAAGCTCCCCTTTATCTTCTCTAATTCCTACCAGATTAGCTTCCTAGTGTGTATTCTGTAAGGCATGTTATTGAAAAGGATTTGCCTCTCCTAACAAGACCAGGATGGACTTAATGAAGTTCTCGCCTTAACATCTTAAATTAAACAAAAGTATTACAGGTTAATGCATGGCTCCATGATAATCTGTTGGAAAATGCCTAGACAATCAAAAATCAGACTTTGGATATTCCTGCCCTATTTTCACAGAAGAAACATACCCCTAAATAACATTAACCTGGCCAATGGGCTTTATAAGAAAAGGAGATTGCTTCACTGTGGTCTCTGACACTGCTGACAAACAGCTCTATAGGATCTCACAAGGGAAAAGAGGGTCCAGCTGTTTCATACATAAAAGTCCTCTCCCATGAGATGGGATGCTTTTTGCCTGCTCTCTGAAGGAAGTAAGTTCAGCTCATAACGCTGTCCATCTGTGCGTGCACCCACTCACCCTCTTCCACAGTACCTTTCAGATTCCTCATCAAATTCAGACAATTCAAAACTCTCAGAGATGCTACCTTCCTAAAAGTTTCCTGGAAACAGGAAGCAAGAGAGACAAGGAGGGCTGTAACAATGCCTCCACAAGGCACCAGTGTAACCTAACCTTTATCAGGCATCAAATAATCCACACAGGCAGGAAGCATTACAAGTTCCACAACTGTATGAAAACATTTAACTTGGTATTCATACAAAAGAATCCAATGATATCAGGCATCAAAGATTTAAGTCATGAGCTACAAACTCACAGGAAAGCAGCTCCGCTTATTTAATTGCTTAAAGAACAGCCTAGAATTTCTTAGCAGCACTGGACAGATTATCTAGAGACTGAGTCCAGCAAAGCTGCTAAAGGTGGAAGCAGGCAAACATAAAGCACCACATCACACTAGCTGTAATGTGACTCTCCACTGTGCCTTCTACACTCTGCTAACTTCAGAGAGTAAGTGGTTTTGGTCACACAAAATGCAACTCTCCAAGTCCTCAGTGGACTTTGTTCATAAGTCATTCACAGTATTACTACAGTAATCAACCAGATTTATTTAAATGACCTTTTTATTTTAGGATTTCAGTGCTCAGTATACACCAGGAAGCTATTCTGGTGATCATCCACGTAGAGGTGTAAATCCTGGTTTTGTTCTACAACATATGACAGAGACCTATTACTGGGGACATTTGCGCAGTTTTTATGACACATAATGGGGGAGATGGAAATAGAGATTAATATTTTTTCTATTTTTGAGACTATTTCTAAATATGCTTTATTTGTTTGCTCAGTAATGTACACATTTTCACCAGTTTTTCCTATCTCAGCAGTCATCTGCCACTTCACAATAGAAGGTTTTGTTTTGGTGAAGCCACGTGAAAAGAGTACATAACGGTTCTGTATAAGCTGTTTTGCTATTTTTACACTCAAGAGACTCAAGTGTTTTTGTACAGCAACACCAAATGACTCTCATTTAACAACTCTTCAGTGTGCGTTGCTCAAAAAGCAGCAGCCTCATACTGCTTTCTGTATTAAAGAGAGTGCAGAGATAGTATTTCAGTTTGAAATTAGCATCAATGACTAACATTGCGAATAACCTACAAAACATAAATTAAAAGATACCGCTTGACACGAAGACAAGGCTGACTCTGTATTTTATGATATTAGCACTATCCAAAGCATCTGAAATCTACCTGATATTGTGGTCATGAGAACTAAAGTTCCATTTTCCTTCCAGTGTGCATCATCTATTCCTTCATAAAAGCAGGCAGCTCCCTGGTTACACCAGAATGGTGCATCCATGCCAGGCCGGAGATGTGGAAATGTGCAGTTCCCAAGTTGGAAGAGCTCATACCACTCCATTGTGTAGTTTTTGCCCGTTAGAGAGCTCTTGAAACCCACAGCATCGTGCATAATTTTCTGGAAAAGAAAAAAAACCCACCAAAACCCCAGAACTTTAACATAAAAACAACTTCAGCTTGACCTGTACAGAAGATGCAATGCTTGGAAGCTGTTGTGTAACAGGGTGAGAAGAGGGGAAGGGGCTCCTCTAACATCTTGGATTCAGTAGCATCAATGCACAACATACTATATTGTATCACACACATACTTTTGTCACAGTCACACTGTCTCAGTGGTTGTCCATCCATCCATTGTAAATTCTGTTATTTGGAGGCAGATACTCAGTGGGAGCTCATCATCAAAACTCAAGCTTACTGTTGAGTCCTTAACCTCACAGGCTTATCAAAGAAATAAAGAGCAGAACTGAGTTCCCAAAACCAGATCTTAAAAGGAATGAAATAAATATTTCTTTTAAAAGCTTTATAGTAAATACATAAATTCAGCCTTAGTTTAACAACTGAGATAACGATATTTGAAGCTATTTCTATTTTTGACTCTGTTCTTGGTTTTGATGTTGCTATTTCATGTTCACTAGTATTTCTTTATTTGTTAGAGATCACGCTTTGAAGCTTAATTATGCTACTGCTATAGCTATAAATATTACTAAAGTTGAGATTCTTTCATATTTGCATGATTCTATGAATGGAGACTTTAATTCAATACTGATCATAACATTGAAGAAAGAACCATAAAAGCAACCAACTCCCCATGATCCACCGTTCTGACCAGCTAGCCGTCCACTCCTGACAGATATCCATGTTCATGCAAATATGTAGGTTTTTAACAACAGAAAAGTTAATACATTAAGCACGCATTTAATCTGATTTAAGGGGACAAATAAATGTATTTTCCTGATGCAGTGCTAGTGCAGGAAAAAAGAGACACCCAAAACGTAATGGGGTGTGTATACAAAACACTCCCAATATGCAGCTCTGTGGGGGAACACATTCAAACCCACTAACAGTGCTGGTCATACCGTTTTCTTTAGCCAAGCTAAGTTCTGTAACTTTTGTTTGAAACTTACTGCTCTTTGGGTATCTTTCCTATACATAGCCTAGCTTCTGTGCTCCAACACTCTTCCATACAACCTTACAGCTCCCATTCTTGACACCTGCTGTTGAATTCAGCTGAATTTGCCACTATAACTTTGTTAAACAAAAACATCACCTTACCAAATGTCCCAGTAGGTCTCCGTATTTGAATTCCCATACTGGAGCCTGTAATCGATACACTTCAATGACATCCTCCTCTTTCATAACTGGAATGGCAGAGCCAGTGGGACAGAAGGTGTAACGAGCTTGGCAGTAAGGATCAGTTTTTGGACGGTAATCAAAGCGCCTGTGTTGAGAAAGAGAAGCACACAGAATGATAAGCACAGCTTCATGGCCAGAGTAACTGCCTCATGGCTTCCTAAGGGCTGAGCAGAAGAGGTCAAGAGTCCAGCCACCCCCAAAGACATATTCTGTGATCCAGATGCTGTAACACTTGGAGTACACAAGTTTGTAAGGCTACTGAGGTGCATGTCTGCAGAAACAGGACTTAAGGACTTAAGACTCATGAATGCAAGTCACACTGTACACAGTACAGATAGTGAAGGAGTGGAAATGATGCAGATTACAAAAGGTGACTTGTACTCACAAAATCAGAGACACATAGATGCTGGGTAGAGGACAGTTTGAGACGTGCGTCAAAACATTCTCCTAACAGTTTTTCTACACAGGGATTGACCAGTTTGCTCTGGGAAACTATTCTACACTAAGAGCTCCCCAGATGGAGCTATTTTTACTCTAGAATATTGACAATATCAGAAATATTCTATTCCTCTATGCTAATTTAGATAAAGAGGCCTAAGAACCTAGCTAGGATCACTGTCGTCATTCATCATTCCTATTAAAACTCAAAAACTGAAGATCAAATCTGCTTACATACCACACTACATACGAAGAGCAAAAAACCTTTCTGACAAGTCTTCCTTTCCCAATTTCCTTCAGATTCACTCCCTGTATTTCACTTAAAACAAGGTTCCTATATTCCTTTTACCAAGACAGATTTGGCTACACAGGTTGCCCAGAGCATAGCCTGAAAGTAACACACTCAGTTGCCCAGGGCTACTGAATGGCACAAATACCCCAGCCATGAGATGACTCAAGGACACAGGACTTCCTGAGCCATAGTCCAGTAGCCCTGCTGAGACACAGCTGATTTTCCCTGCGGACTTCTTCTCTAAGCTTGCTGGGTACTTCAGCATGTCTTCCTTTATTTTGTCCAGCGGAAAAAAAGAATAAAAAAGAAAGAAAGAAAGAGAAAAAAATCAACAACCAAAGACTTATACCAGACACACATTTAAGTCCTGTTTCTAAACTGCGCACCTAACATTTTCAATTTCCCCTCCCACTGCACCTTGCATCTGATAAGAAGGTAACAAGCATGTTAAGAAGCATTAAAATACCACATTTCTGAATGTCTCACACTGACAGGCTCATACTCCAATTTTGACCATTCCGAGACCCAGCCTTGCAACTACTGAACTTGCTGGAAAACCCGAACGCCTCGTGACTGCAAGATCTGCGCCTTCTGGCATCACCTGATACAAATTTAACTGATAGGAATTACACAACAGGGTTTCAAAACTTCAGGCGTGCATTAGATAGCAGCTAAACTATAATGCCTCCCTTTACAAACAGGAAGCCCACACAAAATACACATGCAAGCGTAGCCCTTCTCCTGAAGAGGGTTATTTCCTCAGCATAACCAAAGCCGTAGCGACTCGCTCCAGCAGAATGCGGAACATGCACTGTTCTGCTTTCCCCAACACCACCAGGTCTCCTCCTGGAACCAAGACAGTTCCAGAGCCGCGAACGGGATTTTATACCTTTTCACTTATCATGAACCGAAGTATGAAGCAAACTTAAATTTTAAAAATAAAATAAATCGTAGCCAGGCTTCCTCATCACAACTTTTTGCTAGAACAGGAATGAAAGGGCCATCTTCAAAGCAAGGGCTGCCGTTCCCGGGGGCAGCAATCCCGCTGCTGCCAGAGCCAGCGCAGCTCTAGGCCAGGGACGGGGCACCCGTTCCCCTACGCTTGTGAGCTGAACACACCGCATACCGTATAAAAGACAAACACCCCCGTGATTAAGAAAGGGGAAACTACCCACGGCCTTGTTAGTCTAAAACTTAAATGAACAAACGGAAAACTGGCGGGCCGAGGAGGCGGGCGGTTAGGCGCAGGCAGCCGGGCCGGCCGACCGGGCGACGGTGCCGGGCGGCCGCGGGGACGCGCCTCTCTCCCCCGCTCCGGCCGCCGGGCCCCCACCGCCTCACTCACCTGTAAGGCACCGGCCACCGCCGCTGCGGGGAGCGGAGCTCCCCCGAGAAACACGGCCCCCAAGCCGCCGCCAGCAGCAGCAGCAGCAGC